TAATATAATAATATAAACACTTAATTATAAAATCTATATAAAAACTACAAACCGGTTCGGCAGACAAACCCGCATGGTTAATTAACTTATCGATAGAGAAAGTTGTGGCGTACATCACTATAGTGCAATACTTTCAGTTGCAGTGATACCAGTTTATTTTTATAAAAATTGCACACTTTTGCTGCGAGTTAGCACTTATTTGGCCTGTATTTTGTATAATATTTAAATAAATACTAGTTATCGATTATATTTAATTATATAATATTCAGTATCGTGTTGAAATTGACCTAAATATATAAATCATTTAACAAAGTCCACTACACATCTATATGTAATGATTATTTTTCATTACAAACTGATTTAGTTATTAGGAAATATATTTTCGTTAATATATTATATAACTTGTGTAGTAAAAAATTATATTTATTTAAAAATAGATTATTTTTCACTTTATGAACTATGATGGCCACACTCGGTATTGGACGATAATATTCACAAAGTACGAGTTTTAATGATAAAATTACTTTAATATTATGTTAAAATACTCACAGATGAAAAGTCACATTGTCCTTTTGTATACTTCATGTTTTTGATTGTTTTTTTTTTTCATGTCATTACACTACAATTCGGCATTTTGTCGGAGCTCGATTTACTGGAACAATTACTTCGGAATGTCGCACGACGCGGAGGAATTAGTTTTATATAACGGGTATGAGTCGAACTTAACATAACTCTCGTACCTTTTACAAAGGGGTATGCCTTGCGATGCCGTCTCCTTTCGTTTAATACTCAAAGGCGATTTTGCATCCTATAGATGTACTTACTTGGAAATATTACGACTCGAGTTAACTCAAGTTCAAATGCACACAACTCAAACTAAACTCAAGTGCAACTAGAGTTAGTAGGACGAAACACAGTAAATGATTTGTTACAATTACGTTAAAATATCGATTCAATATATATATATATATATATATATATATATATATATATATATATATATATATACTTTTTTTCACTTCAATCGTAAAATCAGGGTAATGTAATAACCGACGTCCCTAACTAGGGGCCACGCTCACCCTTCATTTAGGGCCCTGATTCAGAGTGGTGTAATAGGGGCATAAGTCATGTCATAATTTTATAAGGGATCACGAAGTATAGAGGTAAGGAGGACAATCTTCATTAGGAGAATATTTGAAAATGTGTCTATCTGTAAGCAGTAAATAATAGTTCAAAAACTCTCCACAACAGCGCTTGAGTAGCTACAGGGTATAATATGCGTCACATTGCTAAGTTTTTGGGAGTTGATATGAGTTGATAACGACAATCACTCAAGATCATAAGGCGCCTGAGAGATCAAAATAACTTGAGGTTTATATCAACATCGAACCAACTGTTTTGACGTTTTTTCTAATAGTTCTCATTCGCAGACACTTAATACACAAAATTGCATCATTTTTACCTATCGAAATCCACTTCAAACCATTATTTAAACAATAAAAAAGGAGCAACAATCTGTTGACGGTCAAGTTCCTACCAAAACTCAACTCAACTTAGATATCAAAATAGAAAATTTTCCGGAACTGTATATTCTTTTTTTATTTTCTCTTGAGCTTTCTTGAGCGTAACTGTATTTCTTCTTTCGGGATTTAATGTAATTATTAAGACCAGCAAGTCAATATCTTATCCAACTATAGTTACATGAAATACTACGGGCGGCCCACTTGAGACTTGATGACGGTGAATTTTCAAAATAGCGTAGCAATTTGAAATGAAAGAGTTTAGAAATATATTCTACTTCAGTTATACATGTCTTGGAGGTGTGCTTTGAGCAAAAAAATCGATAAATGATAAAAAATGTTCATATTCCATGACAGAGTGCACGGAAACTATAAGTGATATCGCTTTGGTATGTATAAAAGGTTGATAACAAACTAATCAAGAATCATTTCCTACCTATACACTTTTTACGTATGTGGTATATGAAATTTTTGCATCACTAGTATATAAGTTTCTAGTGTGACCATATGTGGCAGGTTCCTGCCATTTTGGCAGGTTCCTGCCATTTTGGCGGGATTGGCCACTTATTTTAGCCTTTGGCACGATTGGTTAACGTTCTATAAAACCTTGCAGTATTTGGCAGTATTGGGGAGTTAAAAATACATTTTACTATGGCAATTCAAAATGCCTAAAAGTATAATGGCAGGACATTTCGCCCAAAGGTGTTTTATCACTATATTATAATATCTTTGACTCCGCCATTATGTGAGGGTTTTCCCTGAACCTCTCGTACTATGTTTGTATAACATTCAATAAACAACTTTGAAAGTTGGTACGTAAAGTTGATAATCTTAAAACAAGTATTCATACACACGAGTATATAGTTAATATTTAAATCATCATAAAAGAGACACTTAAAATATGTATGTCCCTTTGCGAACTTGGTAATACCCGTTTCGGAAACGGACTGCTATGATTACCAATGTCCTACGCTGCATGCGAAAGAATATACTCTCAAATAAATTTAATTAAGACAAAAACAAGAAACAGATTTTTATACAAACATGTGGCGTCTATCTTGCACGTTAAAGGCATTGATGAGCATTACGATCGTTTGCATTTAAAACAACGAGATATATTATCGAATGAATAAATCTATGTATTAAGATAAATTAAAATAAGATTATGATGATAACTGCAATGTTTACTTTTAATTTAATAAAAATATAGCATTTAAATGTGTATTTCTACTTTTCTTAGTTTAATACTGTTACGAGCTTAGGGTTCGTGACAGTAAAAATTGCCTATTGAATTACCAAAATTGGCACTTTGATTACTGAACACCAAAAACCACCACTTAAATCACACTAATAATTATTCACACTGAACACTTTAATTCACTTTATTTCACTCCGAAAGCTTCGCTCGCATCATATATTGTCCTGATTGCGGTTTTCAACGGCTTTATATAGGCTTTTTCCAACGAAACATTCAGAATATTCCAACAAATACCGGCCCCGACCAACCAGATGCAGAAAGTTCGAGTTTGAGCTTTCTAGAAAGTTAAATTCTTCTATTCGATATTAGATGACGCTGTTGGGAGAGTTTTAATCAAACTAAGGCAAGATCAATATGCAGCAATCACCATGAAGGTTATAGAGTAGGAGAACGATGGCCGTAAAAAATAGTCTCCCTGAAATATGGACGCCATAAGTGAAGCGCTACGATCGCTAAGTTCGCTCAATAAAAGTCATTTTCAGTCTATTTTTCCGATGAGATGCTAAATCATTTGCACATCCACGCACAATAAAATATTTCTCCATTTTTCAATGTTTCTTTTTGTCAAAAATGAAAAAATTACGAGGCATGAAAATTTTCTCACCATTATCGCGAAGAAATTTTGTACATTATTCAATTATCTTCATCTTCTTGTACTCATAAACAGCTAACTTCGCAACCACTACCGGACGGCAGCGCCACTATAAATCCAAATTTTCACGGACAGGCGGGCTATGCATTAGTACGTAGCTATCGTTCTCCTTTTCTCTAACCTCCATGGTAATCACTAATCACCACAGAGTACTTTTTGTATACCTGAAACTAGTCGCAAACTAATCTATGTGTATGGTATAGGCTGATATAGGCATTAGGCATGTCGATTCATCCTTAAAAAATTGAACTCCGAATCGATTTGAATCGAAGGTACTTGAATCGATTATCGATTAAATCGAGGATTAAAAGATCGATTTCCAATTAATCCCGACATTTTCAAACATGAAATTTCAAGAATAAACTGTAATATTTTTTTAAAATAAAATATTTGTAATCTTATTGATAAACATTACTAAAATTCCTTTTAACCACTGCTGGTAAGCTTGAAACGCTAGTTGTTCGCATATCTCCACTCGATCCCTTTTTTTACAAAGTAATTCCACGTAACACTTTTATTTGACATTTTAGGCTAAAAATAACAATACTTATAAACGTAAACGCTTCTCGATGAATCTGTTTCAATCTAATAACTCACTATTTATCATATTGAAATGAATGCTACACGAACACAATCTGTTTAACATCTATAAACTTCAACGTACGGTATAATATTTATTTACAGTATCTAGGTATTTAAAAAGTACTCAGTCTGTACTTATAGCACACAGTATGTATATTTTTGATAATAAATAATGTAAATTCACAAGTTCACAGTTCAAACAGGTTCACAGCTATAATATTATTGTATATTATAGTACAGGAGGTGAAATATAATATGAAAATATCGCTCGGTCGATCGAAAAAATATTTATAGTTTGGAATGTAATATATATTACATCTCAATGGAAACGGTTCCATTTAAATGTACGGTGAGCGATATTAATTTATATCTCGAGATGTAATATAAATTACATTATATCCCTTAGTGGAAAGTGGGCTTAAGAATTTTAGAAATGAAAATGAAATGACAACTTTTCGATATTGTTGGATGCGTTCATAAACATTTATTTTATTCAAATATATATATTACGTTCAAATTATCAACCAAGTACGACCGGTTGTTTTTGCGTCCCCCAACAGCAAAAAATTAAAAAAAAACTGTGGTATCTTACCCCAGCCAGTTTGGGAATTTTAGCTAGTTCTTGAATCAAATGACTCAGTCCGATTCAAGAGGTTTTTGGATCGATTCAGTGAATCGATGCGGTGCTTCGAATCGATAAAAAAACGATAATTTTACTCCAAACAATCGATTTTTCGATTAATCGATTTTAGATCGACATGCTTATTAGGCATGTCCATTGTCCATGTTTTAAACTCTAAACTTATAATTCAGTGATAGGAAGCCATTTAGATTTTAGAAATCACAATTAAAATTGAATTCCTTGTTTATACTAAAAATATTAAGGTAGAATCGTACATATATGTGAACTTATCAATAAACTTAAATAATACGTATTAGGGTATTGTAAGCTATTAAAACGAAGTAAGTAATCGTAATTTCGGTAAAGATGGCTGATATTCATGTATTGGGCTTGCCTAAAAACGTAAGTAACTTGCTTGTTGTTTTAATTTAACATTTAAGTACTTCTGTTCAATATGTTGTGTGGGTTCGTTTGACCCACGGGAAAGTTCCTCAAATTAGACCTATAATATTTATACAAGGGATTTGAATTGGTTATCCCGTTGCTGTGCAGTGTCTGCGATTGCTGTTTTGGATTACAGGCTGAAATTGTAATAAGTTGGAGTAAAGGGAGGGATGTGAGAGTTAATGGTTCTCATTTTTTTATATTCAGTGTTTATTTTTTGGGCGTGCTTGGCGACAGTTCGGTCCGTGACCTATTTGATAGATCAACGCAATGCAGTCCATTGTCACTCAAGACTGACGATCTTCACTTTTTAAATTGCCTTGACTACTAAGTAAAATATAAAAAACAATGCCTCTGGTGTAAATAAGTTACTGAAAAAAGTATTTCACACACTTAAATTTAATAAAGGAGATACTGAAAGTAGGGTACGACTTTCCATTGACGTCCGTCGAATTGGAGGTTGGTGGGGATTGCGGGGGGAGGTGTACTACTCCCCCTTAAAAGGAAAAGTTGCGGAGCCCCCCCCCCCCTTTTGAGTTTTTTCAATTTTAATTCTGAGGAAATTTTATTTTTTATGGATAAATATTAAGTGTAAAAAACCATGGACCTCTTGGGGGGGAAGGGGGTACCTAAGGGAAGGGGGAACCCCCTTCACCAAAAATAAATAGAGGGACTCATTCAGAGGGATTTCTGTATCTATATTGAGACTGCAACGTCTCCGGCGCTGTGGGAGGAGCAGCCTCTACGCCTTTGCGTAACAAATCGTAAGCATCGTGGAGTTTGGTTGTTGGACGCCGGCAGCGCGGAGCAGGCGGAGGCTGCTCTCCCTACGCGCCTTCGGCTCTATTAAAACACTCTAGGGGGGTAGGAAAAACTCGTACCACGTGGAGTCGGGGTCTATTGATTCGGTTCCTTGACATAAGTTGATCCTAACCTATTTTATTTGTTATCTGTCCTAATAGGTGTGTACTGTTTTATACATATTATATACACATATTGCTTTAATTAATTCTTAGAAATCGTCAGTTTTATGTTACGTCCCACAAGCCGGCAAAAAACGGTAAACACTACACATTTTAATTTTAATAGCTCATAATGATAATAATTCTGTTTAATTTAAATATAAACTGTTAAATATATGTGTATGCATGAAAACTATTTAAATGAGTACAAAATATAATTATTTACGTAAAATGTACAATAAAATGCTACCGAACGTATGACAACTTAACTGTACAGAAAACGAACGTTCAATGTCGAGAATTTGATGTAAGCTGTGGTAAGGATTGACGTAAATATTATAAAAATAATTGATTTTCAATAATTTTTTTCTCAAAAAGTACTCGTTTCCGCATGTTGAAATTTTGCGTGTGCGTTTACAATAGTGTAACCTTTATGTAAAAAAAAATATCATATAATATGAGAAAGGGATTGACATAAATATTGCAAAAATAATTGATTTTCAATAATTTTTTTCTAAAAAAGTACGCTTTTCCGCATGTTGAAACTTTACATGTGTGCTTATATTAATGTAACCTTTCTGTAAAAAAATATCAACCCCTAAACTCGACGGACGTCAATGGAAAGCTTAGCCGAAAGTAGTGTCTGGTAAATATGTCAAATAAATTAAAGAAGCTTGTTTTTCATTATTGTTACATAGCTGTCCAAGTATTACTGATGTAATATAATGGATTCAGGCTATCAGCCTACCATCAGCTTAACTAAGACTGATGTAAATAATTAAAAATTAATAAATAATTAATAATTAAAAAAAAAAAAATTAAAATATCCTTTAGTCTTGTCCATCAGTCTATCAATTAGATGATTTGGGATCAATCAGACCTGACTGCTGGACTAGAACTGATATTTAACTGAGCTTGTTTCCGAATTCTTGTTAGAGATGGGCCTAATACTGAATTCAAAACGAATATTTGTTTCATATTCAGCATAATCGTCAGCTTTACTGAATATTCATACTCGGCGGAATATTTGCCTTAATCACCGAACATTTGTTAAAGTAGTATTCAAAGTATCCACTTTATTAAAATGTACCAATTGAGTAATGCCATGACTTTCATAGTTTTACTGTTGAAAGTATATTATTTATGGGTTAAATCTACTTGTATAGCATTATGTTTTAGAGGCACTGTAGATTTATTTCCAATTATAGCAAATAGAAAGCTTGATAAATTGTTTTTGGAATCAAACAGAAACATTACATTACTTTAGTACATTTCACTTTACTTTGATCGTCAGTTTCTCTAAAATAAGTTCAAATAGAAGATCTCCGGCCACTAATTTTTATTATATATTTATGAATTTTCACTTAGAATAACACAACAGAATACTTCTGTTCTCACAAAAATAGTCAAAACATAAGTATGTGCTGGCAATTTGCTCAGTACTAAATGACGCAATAACATGTCAGGTGTGGCGGTTGAGAGAGGGGCAGGGTCTGGCTCTAATCCTGCGCGTGTTACAGTCACAAGTTTCCACACAAATTGGTTAGTATGCCAAGTGATCCTGCTGGCTAATGTTCAGCCAAATATTCGGTTCAGTAAAAGTTTTACTGAACTTTCGGCCGAATATCCATATTCATACAAAACTAGAAAGACAAAAAGAAATGGTTAAGATTTTGCTGTTGTACACATTAAGTCTTACCTGTTGCTGATAGTTTTGAGCTATGATTTTTATTTAAATTATAATAGGACATTTAAGAAGAATTTTGTGTCTTAATTTTAGCTCATAAGCTTTTACCATAGAAGCATATGTAACTCATAAATACAATTTGTCTGCTCAAAAGCTTCTTTAGCACACTTCTGTACAACTATTGGCATGAAGTAACATTTGAGAACACACTTGCAGGGATGACAGTGCAACTGCATTTTGATTGTTATTTGAGGATAGATGTGGTTTAGGTACCATAAGGTAGACTGCGTGCTTGTTTGGTACCTTTGTTCTATAACAAAGATATTTATATTTATGAAAATTAACTGTACACAGTAATAAAACTCATAAAATGTGTATTCACAAAAACTTCATATTTCTACAATTTCCAGGTGAAAAAACCTCGACTTGTTAATTTACTACGGACAGTAGTGTTTGGTAAAAAACTGAAATGTAAGTTTTGGATCCGAGAAGCATATCCGTTGCCAAACTCTCAGTTTCAACAGGTGGTAGTTAATATAAGTAAAAGGAATGATGCATATAAGGCTGTAGACCTCATTAATGATTTTGTGTATTTTAACGGTACTGAGGATTTTCAATTATCAGCTGTGATTGTGGATGACCATGTACCACAGGAACATTATGATGAACCAATGCCAGAAGTACTTTATGCAGAAAAAAAGCACATTAGCAGGGAAAAGGAGATAAGACAGAGCAACAAGCGTAAGAGGAGCCCATTGAGAAATAAGGAAAGATCTCGTAGTCCTCATTATAGAAATGAGTCCACTAAACTTGATGTAAGTTTAAATTTTATCATTTAAATTATTCCTTAAAAAAATGTATATCCTCAAGTCTGAGAAGGCTACTCACTTAACAAAAATGATATTTTGAGGATTTATAATACCACTTAGCTTAGGGCTTAACAACAATATATGCATGTTACATTATTTAATGCACTAACAATTTCAATGTCTTTTAAATCCACTGTAAAGATTAAAATTAGCATCTGTAACCTGCCTGTCATGTGTGGCGAATATGGCACAATGTCCTTAATATGGGAGAGGCCTGTTTCCTGATCCCGTATTTTATATAAAAAAAATGGAAATTAAGTAAATAGAATTTGGTAGATGTAGATGGCTCAGGACAGTGTTTAGTGACATTCCTTGGGAAAAAACATTGTTCAGCCATTGCTGTCCACTGACATGTAAAGTACTGTAATGATAATGATGACAATGACGAGTGAATATAAAATCTCTTTAATGAAAAGGGATTGGTTAGTATCTTAACATTCTATTTAACGAGGTTTGCTGAACAACTAAAAAATACAAAGGTATATTATTTAAAGATGGAGATTGAACTGGTGCGAAAGCAACGTTTACTTGTGGAAGAAGAAAGAAAATTACTTCTTGAGAAAAAGAAGTTGGAACTGTTAAAGGTAATTTATTTACTAATAATATCAAAAATATTTAAATCAGAAGAACATCCAGTATTCACTAAACTTTCCTTTTAATTTGGTTCATTATTTAAATTTAGATTTATTCATTTAAAACATTGGCTATTCATTGTTGTTTGTTTTGTTTATGTTTTGATGTAAACTTATGACTCCATTAATCTATACAGCAACTACTCATGCTACATTGGTAGTTTAAATTGAATTGACTGCCTCATTGGTCTAGTGGTTGTAGTAGTGCGACTGCTGATCGTGAGGTCCTGGTTTCGAATCCCGAGTTGGGACAAAAAATTAATTATTGAGTATACCGTCAAGAAATTCTCAGTAGTTCCCCGGAGTCAGGAAGTTGGCGGTGTCTCATCCCCGTGCCACGTAAAGCCGTTGGTCCTGCGCGTGATCTCTCTCTGGTCATGTTTGTTTACCGTCCCATCGGATTATGAGAGTCAGGGAATAGCGAGTGCACCTGTGCTTGCGCGTACACTTGGCCACTATAATCCTGTCCTGCGCCGATGGCTAGACTCCATTGAGGCAGGCCGCCGTGGCCAAAATTCGGTCTGGAGAACACTATTATTATTAAATTCAATACTGACTGAAGGCTTCGTATGATGCAGGCAAATCCATAACTTGCAATATTTTTTCTATTCATATGGTCTTCATTAACCGACATAGCCCAATGGATTACAATGGGCTGGTCATATAGCTTGATTAACTTACAACCGATGGGGAATGAAGGTTCTCGGGCATCCCCTCCACTAGATGGAGTGACCGTGACCTTGTAAGACATGCCGGAAGTTGATTGATGCAAATCATTCCATGAGGGATGCCTATATTCAGCAGTGGACTTGTGAAGGGCTTCAATGCTGATGATGATGATGATGGTCTTTGTTTATACTTAGAAACAATTCAACCTAAAACCAAACCTTTAAATAAATCCTATAATAAATTACATTATGACAAATTATAATCATAACTAACTGAATCTTATCAAATATAACTCATTAATGGATTCCTCATAACTTCTTGCACTTGTATGCATGTAGAATATTGTTATATCTTTTTAATCTTTGTAAATAATCAGAGCAAATAACAAAGTTATTTTAATCAAGATAGGTGTACTTGGCTCAGTATGTTTATGCTTCAAAGAATAAAATAAATAATGGAACATACTTCATTATCCTAAAATTTATAATAGATTTGAATGTCCCTGTGTTTTATTTATTTTATCTTGTAGTTTTTGTATTTTTTCATTGCACTAACATTGCACAATATAACATATACTTGGAAAAAGCCAGGGCATGTTTGCTCGACACTAGATGCTTAAAATAGTCTGTGAATATAGACTAGATTATCGGCGGCTAGCCTACCTATGCATATCAATTTTCTTGTATTAGTCAGTATGGTGAACTGACAACTGTGTTTTAAGAAGTTGTCTAAATCCTAAAAATAATATTGAAATGCTTTTATTCAAATATTTACTGTCTGCTGATATTTGCTAACTTATTAATAACTGCTTAACTGAAACTATACTCCATAAACAATAGCTTAAATCTAACTCATACTTAATCTATAAAGATGTCCTTATAATTGGTTAGTATATTTTTATCAACCAACTTCAAAAAAAGGTAGGAGGTTCTCAATTCTACTGCTTTTTTTAAATGTGTGTAAGTAGTTTTTAGTTATCCTTAATAATTTGTATTTAATTGACTTCTCATTTTATTTATATTGAAGTTGGTTGTACAAAATTTGTAATTTTACCACTTGTATACATCACACTGTGTGGATTATACTTGACTAACTCATATTACTACCTTTCCAACAAATTTGCTACTCGACATCAGTGAGTAGTAAAGTTGTTATAAAAATTTAATTTCCAGGAGTTTGGTCCAGGCACTGTTAAAAAATTAGAAAAGTATGCCGCAGCTATTGAAAAACACTCCTTGGAAGATGATGAGCCTCCAAAACCTCAAATAACTGTTACGAAAAAGAGTGAAAGTCGTCGTGCCACAACAGGGTTGCCACTTTTTGTACTGCCATGCAGGATTATTATAAAGCAAATGAAAACTGTTTTAACAAACCATACAAATGAAAATAACAAGTTTGAACTATTAAAAGCTTTGCGCATGACAATAAGAAAGCGCATTGCAGAACTACTTCAAACTAAAACTTTCATGCAAACTGGAGAAATTATCCAATTGTATAGAGAAACATACCCCTTAGATACTGATGAAAAGTTATTGCAACAACTTGAAGCCGAAATAAAAGTTAACGCTAATGTTGCCGAAGATAATAAATCGGCAACAGATATTAAGGAGAATGATAACCCGCAAGAAAAAACTGAAGCTAAATTTTCACCAGGTACACGTAAGACCACAAATCATTTGTCTATCTTTGAAGAAGTGCTACAAAAATCCATTAAAATTTAATCATGGATTAATGGGTTTATAAAATACAAGTATATCTTTAAAGAATGATCAAATAATTGTGGTCACAATAATTTATTTACGGTAAAACAGAAGCTGAAAATTCGAAAACTTAAACTAGAATTAGGGTAAAAATTTTGGTAGATATTTTTTTTATCAAAGGCGACTGTAATAATGGTGCTTGTAAGTAAAATAAGTGAAAACTTACAACACCACAATAAATATAAAAAACGCCTTATGACTCAGTATAAAAAATGTTCGATAATTTTCGAAAATTAGGAACATTTCCTAATTCATGTAGAGTTTCCGATGGCCTGTTTTTCGATTCAATTTCTTTTCAGATACAATTACAATATATCTGATATTAAAGAGTTAATACTCATGTATTTGGCCTACTCATCTTTATGACCCAGAGATCGGTAATAATTTAGTGACAGCATAGAGGTGGGGCCTAAACCACATATATATCCCAAGGAACATTGATGTGTGAAACTCTTACCATTTAATACTAACTAATAACTCTCACATAGCCTAATATATTGCACAATATTTTATTTTCATCTCATTTATAATAAAGTAGATAACTACAAATTAAAATTTTACAGGAGAATCCAATATACCCAACATAGAAAATAAGGACACAAAAACAGAAATAAAGAATGATCTATCGGAGAAAAATGGTGAAGGAAACTGTGAAGAAAAGACAGTGAAGAAGGAGATCAAAGAAGATCTAAATGTAAATGATGGACTCGCAAATCTTGATGGTGATTCAAAGGAAAAAGAAAATGCAAAATTTAATAAAACTATGGAGGACATGTATGCTGAATTGGACGATTGGTTAGAAGAAGAAAATAGTACAGACAAAAAAACTACTACCGATAGCCAATTGGTTGATAACAATACTAGTGCACAGAACAACAAAGATGTTCCAGATTTGAAGCAGACCCAAACAATAGAAGATCAACAAAGTTCTGAAGTAAGTTTTAATGTCCTTTTTGCAATAACTATATAACTTATTTATATACAATAATAACTTCATTAGCTAGTGTAAGTGTACTGCTGGATGGTGGCGTGTACCTTTGTAGGGAGGAATCATCATTTATGCTGTAGATATGTGTGTTTGTATGTTGGCTTAGAGAGTCAGAGACCCTTTTTACTGGAAACAAGGCATTCCATCTCAGTGCTCAGAAGTGACAATACATCTGCATTTAGATTCTTAATCGAGGATAGATTTAGATGTCAATGGGCCACACAGCATCCTCCTAATATCAGTGGGACTGAGTGCTCGTTTGTTATCGTAGTCATATATAAAAAAAAAATATCCCTCTTCACTGTATGTTTTTGCTTGCCATGTGGTTGGCGTATAAGAGTACCCATCATTCCATTTCATCTTGTAGGTATCTTATGAGACGACTATTGGAATTGTCATGTAGATTTCAAGCCTTCTGAAAAGATAGTGGTACACTATCTCTACACCAGGTCAAAATACCCAACCAACAACACACAGCAGCGTCTAAGGTGCAAGATATTTAGTACAGTAATGTGACGATTAACTACAACGAGAGAGATCCAACTGTGGACTTTTCTGGTCTGATTAAAAATAAACCTAAATATATTAAATTTAGGGTTTAATAATAATGAACGTGTTTTCTAGATTAGGCAATCATATTTAAACATAAAAGTACGAACTAATTGGTTCAATGAGACACCGCGTGCATCGTCGCATACATTTGGATTCTTCAAATCAAAATGCATGGGAAATTTAAAAAAAAATAAATGTATGCATCACTTATTATGTTTGCATTCCATTATCAAAATTTTATACGTTATTGAGAAAAAACAAATGTCGAAATTGTAATTAATGTTGTATTACTATTTCATCAAATTTATTAGGGTCGCTACAGATGACATTCACCTCCTTTTGCCTACACCACCGCCACACGACAAATATTTTAAAGACATTTCCTTAATTCCGTCATTCAAGAACACATTCCCTTGCCTCAAAAATCTCTAAAAAAGAGAGGAGACCTGTTTCGAGCCGTGGCACGTATATGAGCTGTAATTTTATTAAAAGCAATTAATGAAGGGATTTTTTTTATTTTTCCAGGTTACTGAAGATAAGAAAGAATAATTATACCTTCAGTTGCAGTGTTGCAGCATATAAGTACCATTTTTATTGTAACTGTGTGCAATTGTTTTATTAGTGAAATAAAACATTTATTTTGAGCTTCACTTTATTGTTTTACTCTTAAGAGCCCTCTTACATTTCAGCGCGCAAAAGGAATTTTACGCACCGAGCGAGCGGCGAACTACGCGACCGTTTCTTTCTTTCATACCTGTTCACTCGCTCGCACTATGATACTGTGAGTATGGCGACTAAACAATCTTGATCTTCCATAATACACAATTTTCTTAGGATGGAGTTCAATGGATGGAAATTTTTTTATATTATTTAATAAATTTATTATAATATATTTTGATATATTATTCATTAGTTGCAACCTGTTTTAATAAATAAAACAAGCAAATGTAACTAATAGTTTTTTAATCGGTACTTACAGTCAATTACCGTATTTTTTTATTAAAATATTTGCCGCAACTGCATTGACCGAGCTTATCTCGAGTCGATAATTTCAGACACTACACACTTTTCATAAAACGCTTGTAACTTTTGAAACATAAATTCAAAATCCAAAATTGGTCATCTTTGTAGACTTAGTACTTTTACTGCATAATCTGGGCCAGTCCATATGGCAAGCATGCAGACATTATTATTCTCACATTAATACTTGTATTTATCTTTCCCCATTCCGACTGGTAAGAAAGCTCAGCTACAATCAAAATAACTATATTGAGTTAACTATCTGGTATAATAATAATGTGCGAACTCTATACTAATTGAAATATACTTTACGAAAATAAATACTTATTTACTTTACGGGCGTAGTTGACGATGCTCTAGCACAAAATAGCAGCGCCAAGGCCATCGACGCGCGCTACATAAACATAACATAACATAAACACTCACGCCTGTCACCCAGAGGGGTAGGCAGAGACTACAGACTTCCATTTGGCACGATCCTGACACACCTCTCTTGCCTCCTTCACATCCATATACCTACGCATACATGCTCGTCGGTTAAGGGTACTCCTAATTTGGCCCGTTTTCAATAAATCGCCAATTTGGTCGATAAGTTTTCGCCTAGGACGTCCCTTTCCGACTCTGCCATTCACTTCTGCACCATAAATTTTCTTTGTCACTCTTTCCTCACTCATTCTTTCCACATGACCAAACCACCGAAGCATTCCTTTCTTAATCCTGGTCACCACATCATCTTGCAAACCACACTCTTCTTTACACAATTCCTTACCCTGTCATTCAGATTCAGCCCTAACATACTCCTTAACGCGACCGCATTTCTACTGCGTTTATTCTACTCTCGTGCTTCTTCTGCCACACCCAACTTTCACTACCATACGTTAAAGTAGGGACCAACACAGCATTGTGAATTGCCATACGTGCCTTTTTCGACACATTTTGACTCTTCACAATAGAGTGCAAGGCACCATTTACTCTATTTCCCGCATTCACTCGTCGTTCTATATCCTTATCATATCTCCCATCCCTGCTAAATACGCAGCCCAAATATACAAACTCATTTACTTGCTCGATCAACTCACCTTCTATTCTTATTTCACAAATTGTTTTACTTTCTTCTCTTTCAAAAACCATAACCTTCGTCTTACTTGCGTTCACTTTCATACCCCTTTCTTTTAATGATCCGTTCATTAATGTAACCATCATTTGCAAATACGCCGCCGACGACGCAAGAATAACTTGGTCATCGGCGTAGAAAAGGCATTTGACGGTTAACTCTCCCATTCTTAATCCGCATTCTTCAACTTTCAAATTTTGCAAACAACTGTCCATAAATAGGTTGAACAGCCACGGGGAAGCCACACAGCCCTGTCTGACACCTTTATGGATGTCAAACCAGTCCGAGTAGACCCCGTTGATCCTAACACAAGCACTAGAGTCCCTATAAAGAGACTCCAATGCCTGTATCAAGCCAGCGCTCAACCCAAATGAGTTCAGTGTTTGCCATAGCAAATCCCTATCCACTCTGTCATAGGCCTTTTCCAAGTCCATGAACGTACAAAAAAACCTTTTGGTTTTTGGCCAGAAACTTCTCCGCGATCATGCGCATGGAAAAGACTTGATCTGTACATCCCATTCCCTTTCTAAATCCCTAGCTTGCACATCCCAAATTTTTCCATCAGTTTCTTTCATGACCCTTTCAATCAGTACTTTAGCATACAGTTTTTCCCACAATGCTAAGAAGGCTGATGCCACGGTAGTTTTTACAGTCCTGCTGCGACCCTCTTCCTTTATATACTGGGACTATTACGGCTTTGCACCAGTCTACCGGTACCCGCTTCAGTTCCCAGCATAAATTAAACAAGGTGTGCAGCAGGCCTGCCACCTCTTCCTCTCCAGCCCTTAGCATTTCGAGTGAAACTCTTTCATATCCGGCAGCCTTACCTGCTTTCATGCTTTTCATTGCTTTCATTATTTCATCTATACTTATCTCGCTACCTCTTTCCTCTTCTTTCGGTGTTTCTACTCCACTTAGTACACACGTTGTCTCCTCACTCATAAACACGCTTTCAAAATATTCCTTCCATCTCTTTAAACTCAAAACTTCATCATTCAGAATATAGCCATTCTCGTCTCTTATAGCATTCATCATAGGCTGTTTTGAATGTCCCCTGGCAGTTCTTACAAGTTTCCAGAACATTTTAATATTTGCCTGGAAGTTATCCGATATTCGTCTATCATTCTTATCCGTTCTTTCTTGCTTTTTTCTTTCAACTACTTCTTTTACTCTCTTATTAAGATGTCTAAAGACTGCCTTTTTTCTTTCAATATCACCATTCGTACCGCCAGAATTACCAGCCTTTGTTGCTAGTAAATCTAGCCATGCTCTCTTCTTTGCTTCAACTTCCATATGTATCTCATCATCCCACCATAACGTATTATTTTTCCTTTCATTCTTTCTCTTACTAACACCACATACTTCGGTAGCTGCATCCACTAAACCTTTCTTTACATTTTGCCATATAATTCTCCAAGTCTAACTCCTTCATACATAATTCATCCAAACCACTTATATTTTCTTTCAGTCTACATTTGAACTTGTTTTTATCACTTTCATCTTGTAACCTTTCTGTTCTAATACGCTGTAACGCAGTGGTAGACACAGACGATCGATGGCGCCAACGCCTGAATAGACCATTAATTCGGCATAAAACTAAATAATGATCCGTTCCTACGTTAGAACCCCGGTAAACCCTCGTATCTACCACTGCGCCCCTCAATCTTTCATCCACAATTATGAAATCTATCATGCTTCTATCGTCACCTCTTTCCCAAGTATACATGTGAATCCTCTTGTGGCGAAAGCAAGTGTTCGTCACAAAAATATTCTTTTCCATACATACGGTGAGGAGACTTTCACCATTCTCATTTATACTTTCATAACCAAACGTTCTTCTTCATACCACCTCACCCCAACCCTTCCATTAAAATCTCCTAGCATAATAATATTTTCATTTCCCTTACACTTCATTAACACCATCCTTACCATTTCCCAAAAGTGCTCTCGGATATAAGTGGGCTTAGACATGTCTGGGGCGTAGACCCCTAACACAAACAATTTCTTCTAGCCCACTTTCATTCGTATCCATAGCAGTCTTGGGCTTATACATTCATACTCTTTCACACATTGACCCATTCTTTCTGAAAGGATGATACCTACTCCCTGGCATGCCCGCTCGATATCGTCTACACCAGACCAGTATGCGGTATACATGCCATGTGCAGTGACATCCTTCCCCTTCCTTTTCGTCTCATTTACGCATAACACATCTATTCCTCTATCATACATCATATCGCATACTTCATCCATTTTATCATTCATTGCCCCACATACATTCAACGTAGCCAGACGGGCCTCTGCAATCCACTTTTCGCCTCTCCGGGAGACAGAACGTGACGGGTGGCGAACCTCGTCGCCGGTTTTCCTCCCGGAGATTCTTCGCACCCCTGCCCCATTAAAGGGGCGCCGGGAACTCGGGGCCATTTCTTTATTTCGATTCCTCATGGTGCGAAATAGTGTGGTATATTTAACGCCGCTACCACGGCGTGAAGCCGAGTCTGTGGTATCGGCTTGTCGCTCATTTAGCACCACCCGGGGGACACGTGTAGGGTGGGCCTAGGAACAGGTGGTCAAAGCCTACGGACGCGAGCGACTTATCCCCCCGCTACAATAATATATAAACGAGACTGAGCGCGCGAAATAAATTGACACACGTCTGATCCGACCTCGAGAGCCGCTCGCGTGGTAGTGAATTTAGATGGCCGACGCAGTGAAATATATGGTACTTTTATTTAATTAATTAAAAAATAATAGTAACGATTTAAAAAGTAAACAACATAGTTAGTGATGCAACAAAACTGTTTCTGTTTCCGCAACTGCGGAAGTTCTGCATGGTTTTTAACATCCGTTTCTGCTTCTGTTTTGACAAGTTTTATAACGGAATTCTGAACGGAACTCAGCGACGCATCCATATAAATAGATTTATTGTATTTTTAGTTAGTTAGAAATTTAAGTCGGGTGTAATTTAATTGCAATCATGAAGCCAAAAACAAGTCCTGTTTGGAACTATTATTCTTAGATTGATGATTTAGCAGCCAGATGTAAATTATGTGACAAAATATACTCGCGAAATGGCTGCACAACTATCGCTTAACCTTTTGAGCGCCACGCCAAAAACTCACTACCGTGTCCTGTACGCCAAAGCGAAAAGTAAACAAAAATACCTACGAAAAAAACAGTGCTGCCAAGAGTTGATATATCGATATCACAAAATAACTTGTTTTTGTTGGTTTTTTATACAATAAATGAGTCTTTATAATCGGATATGTTTTATTTAATCTTGTGCTGTCTTCCACTCTTTTTATATATGTACTTTGTACATAAATAAAAAACAAACAATAACAATAAAATAGTAGTAAACCACAACACTACTCTCCGTCGTGATGACGTCACTGTCACGACTGGACGACAA